ATGTGGCACACTGCCACAGCAAGTTCTGCCTGCAGGCGTCCTCACAAAGATATTGATGAACCTGACTGTCCGTTCTGCTGCGGCCTCCCTGATGCAAATACTGTCACATCCACCCGCAAAGGTTCCAATTGGCAAACTGATGTTAGGAACCTCAAGCTGCTGACCCCGTATACCAAGCCATGCATATCTGAGTGCTGAGCAAGGGAGATCTCTCGAGATCTGGATTTGCGCTATCTGCGATTCACCTTGCACAACCCGGAGATCAAATGGGCTGGTGATGTCAGGGCCTGGAACGACAAGCAGTCTGTCCTGTTGACCATCCTCATGGATTGGAAAGAAATGTTGAGTTGGTGAAATTGCTTCCTCAGGTCCTGAGCTAGGCTCATCGCAACGCACATCAAGTACAAGGATGCCTGGGAATTCGACTACCTGATGAATTGGGATAGGTTGTCCATGAAAAAGGCAGTGCATGCCAACTCCACATTGGATCTCCGCAAGGTCAAGGATGTGCGCAACAGTGGATGGGCAAGGAACGGTCAGGGAGCTTCTCGTTCCACTGTGCTGGATCTGTACTGTAATGGAATGGGCAGTTGGAAACCCAGCAGGGGTAGGTTGGTATCCAAAAAATACACAGTCCTCATGCACAGTGAAATTGTGGAGATCAAATCTGAGGGTATGGCTTTTGAAGTACTCGACGATCTGGCTGAAAGATCCGCATTCACCTACCCTGTCAAGCCCAAGAACTTGCAATGCAGCCCAAATCGGTGCCAATGCATGAGCCTGAGCAATGGCATTTCCAACCAATGCACAACCAGATGTGAGATCAAGTGGCAAAGCGAAATTGTGAGTCACCCCAAGGCCTACCAAGATTTCTGTGGCAGTGAAGAAGCGTACCTGCTGACGGTCCCGGCGAAGTCCTCCAAGAATCTTACCTTTCTTCAGGTGCTGGATCGGAAGGTTGTGCTGATTGGAATAGCAGTGCATGACAACTGAGGCAGGAAGGGAATCACTGTCCGTGACAATGCGATCAGCAAGCACATCCCTTTGATTTCCATTTCGTGGGCCAAACTCAGGGTTGGAGTACAGCGCAATCAACTCAGGTGTTAGGATGGCCTGACTCCTGAGCTGCGGCAGCAGGTCATGGCACCAAGCATTTTTCTGCCCCAGTGTGGTGGGAGATCCGAGAAAACCTTCCGAAATACCTGCAACTGCCAAAGGGTCAATGACATCCGTCCATGCTGTATGCACAAGGGCAGCGACGAAACGTTTCCTGGCAACCGGAACAACATTCTGAAGGGAGAGCACCTGCGCATACACAAATTTATATCCCGCAGTCTGAGCAACCTGCATCATGTGATTTCTCAGGGTTCCTTGTTCCCAAACCGGCGGAACATTCTCGAGGAAAATGCATCCGATGCCTGAACGTGCCGCATTGAAAATGCAGTCCTCGAATACCCAACCTGCTGGGCAGTGCCATCCCTTCTTTGTTCCAGCAACACTGTAAGACTGGCAAGGCCAAGACATGGTCATACCATTGCATCCCAAGAGGGTGACTGCAAACCAGAGTTGAGGGTCTACCGCATCACAACATGCAGTGAATGGCGCAGTAAGATCTTGCACGGTGGGTGGGCCAAAAACAGGTCGTGTCCCATGAGTCTTTGCATATGCACTCACTGCAGCTCTGTCGAAGTCAGCTGAGGCAGAGACCTTGATTGGGTATCCCAACGATTGGAGCATCCGGATAGCCGAAGTCCAACCTCCGACACCTCCACAAAAAGGCGAGAATACATTGATACCTCCTTCGAACTTGTTGATCAAGAGTGGTCGAGACTCCAGAGTCAGGAGGTAAGCAGTCTGCACAATATCCTCGTGCATGATCTGGATACTCCGAATATTGCCCGTCAAACTGACACCGAGGTTCTTGGCGACCGCATTGTGCATGATGCAAAGCTGAAAATCCAGGTTCAAGGGTACCAAAATGAAATCGCAGGTCAGGAAATCTCCATGGCATGAAAATACCGCAAATTCCGAATCTGCACCAAGAAAACGAGAAACACGGAAAATGCCGGCATCAGCCGGAATGAAACTCATCTCAATGTCCAACTTCCTTCTCTTCCCGTCAGGCCGAGCTTTTGGATCCAGAGGGGTTCCCGAATAAACATGGTAGAAAGCCTTGAAAAAAGGCTCCAATTCCGGCTTGCTGCAAAGCGTACCGGGCTCGGCATCGAGAAATCGCTTGGCCAGATGCTTGAGCCAAAATGGCTACGGAGCAGCTTTTCCCCACGCCAGAATACAGCAGCAAACAGCCCTCGGACCCCGTGGTGCCCCTGGTCCCGTGTACGGGCATCTTCCTCGGCCCCAGCAAGTCCGGCAAAACCGTGGCTCTGATCAGCCTGATTCTGGAGCAGTACAGGGGCGTGTTTGAGAGAATCTACATCTTCAGTCCGAGCATAAACGTCGATGACGGCTGGATTCCCGTCAAGAAGTATATCGAGGAGGACTTGGGGGTGAACGTGGAGAAAGACCAGGCCTACTGGAGGATTGGGACGAGGCGGCACTGCGGCGCATCATCCAGCAGCAGCGCAAGATCACGGAGACGTCTAAGAAGTTGGAGATGAAGAAACTGTATCAGGTGCTGATTATCCTGGACGACCTAGCGGATGTGCCTCAGCTCCACACTTGGGGCACGGAAGCAGGCAACGTAGAAAACCGAGTAAACCAAAGCCAAAAGTAAAAACGTATGGTGGCTCCGGCTCTCCCGGCCCTCGGTCCCTCCCGTTGTTTTGCTGTTTTTTTTTGGCTGCTACTCGTTGGTTTGTTTTCTTGTTTTGGGCTCCGCGGCGGGCGCCACGGCTAGCTTCGCGCCCAAAGCCGCCGGTTGAGACGGCGCCGGCGGAGGCACCGGCAGAGGCACCGGCTGAGGCACCGGCTGAACCGGAGGCGCCTCAGCTCACAAGAGAGCAGCAGCGCGCCCTGCGCATGCTGGAGAGGCAGTCCGCTTGTGACCGGCTGACCACAGGTGCAAGCGTACTAGTGTAAAAGCATGATGTCGATTGAGCCCCGCAACGAGCCGCGGATGCTCCGGTGGTTCCGCAGGACGTACCCCAGTTACAACTTGCAGCCTCTGCTGCTGAAGCGCTACCGAGAACTGGAGGAGGCGCGGGCCTTCAACAACTGGCTAGGCGAGCGCAGGCAGGCGCAGGAGGGGCAGCGGCACCTGGACGACGTGAGCCGGCTGACGGAGGCCGTGCACCGCCAGGTACCCCAGCTGCGCTACGCGCGGGCCGAGCGCCGGGGCGTGGGCTGCGGGTCTTTTGAAAGTTCGAGAATGTAAGCTGGTGGAAGACTGTTGTGATGTAAGTCCACAGCCAGGCTGATGATGTGCTAGCCTCCAGAAAGTTCCGCATGACCTTACACACACTTTGGAGGAGTTTTGCACTACCGCTGTCCAACGAAGGCTGTCCAACGAAGGCTGAAAATAAAAACGCCATTGGTTTACCACAAAAGTGAGCAACGCGCGCAATCCAGCTACTACTTACTTGACCTTGTGTGCATGTGCAAATTCGGAGTGCACACAGTGAAAGCTTGTGGCTAGAACTTGAAACGTGCTTTGTTGCCTGGCAAATATGCCGCGCTTTGCAAACAATCTTGCCGACGTGCCGTGTTGCAATCTGTTGTCACAAGCATTGTTTACAGCAGTTCGAGTTGGCAGTTTATTGTCCTTGTACTGTCTGGCTCAGTGTCATGCTTGTTGGTTGAGTCAGTGAAAAGTGAAAGGGTGCTACGCATGTATCAAGGCCAACTCAGTGGCAGACTTGTCTGCTGCTGTTTTGTTTTGAACCTCCCTTTTTGGCTCGCGTGTTTTCACTCCATTTTTTCTTTTGTTTTGAGATGAAGTTGCGTCAATGTAGTCCCCGGAGCGCGGCAGGTAGTGATTTGAGTCCCGGTCCTCGGACAATGAGCTGACACGGAGGCCCCTGCTAATTACGCATGACGGGTGAATTGCGCGCAAATCTGATGTGACTCATGCGTCGCGAACATGAAGATTAGTGGCAGTTTGTTTTGAGTCGCACCGTTTGCAAAACACCGTGCTGAGCTACATGTAATCCCAGGTGTGGTGCAAACAACTCCCCCCTTGAGTGCGCCGCTAACGCTTCAAATTGTCATGTAAGATGACCGCAGAAGCGACATGTGCATACATAACTTGACACTACTAGAGTTGCTCGGGTTGAAACAGCTTGCGCAAAATCGGCAGTTTCTTGTTAACTCACTATGCTGGTGCAAGATAATGCGATTGCATTGATTGCTAGTTCATCGGCATCTGTTGCAAGCATGATGCGAACCTCCGCAGTGTTGTGGTCCACTGCGAGGGAGAGGCCGACGGCATGAAATCATTTTATTTCTCGCGACTTTCACAGGAAGGGTGAGAACGAGCCAGGCAACATCCTTAGCATCACCAGCACCACCAGATTGTGACAAACAGTTTTGGGTCAACCATCAGTCCACTGTTCAAATAATGGGTCCAAATGATGTTGGTGATGCTGGGGATGTTGCTCCAAAGGCTTGGCTTGGAATGCAGGTGAAGGCTGGAACTCAGGACCAGATACTGGAAAGTGCAAGAAAACACTTCGTTGGACTTTTGTGAGCCAAATCAGCAGCCTCTGTTGGTTGCTGCGGGAACCGCTGAGCAAGTTGGCTATGTGCTTCGTATTTTTTGCATGTGGGCAACAGAGTGATGTAGCAAACGCTCTGCCAGGTAGTTGGTTGAGCTACATCCATGACTGCGTGAGAAGTTGAATTTGGCCAAGTGTGGTTCAATTAGAGTACGCAACGCACCTGCACGCTTCTATTGAAGCTTTGTGCGGGTGTTTTTCGTAGAACATTAGCTTGCAAGTCAAAGCATATTGTTGATTCAACATTGCAAGATTCAACATTGAGCGTGGCACAGCATCCAGCTCCAGCAATTTCTCCCAGGTGGCTGCGGTAGCAAGAAGGTACAAGCAGCCCACACTTAGCATAGGCAGATTTTCCGGTCGATGGCCGACTCATGTGGCAATCTCGAAGGATGGTTGCGCAAGAAGAGCCGAGGGCCAAGTTTGATGGAGGAACGGAGACTGAAAGTCTTGGCGCGGCGCACCAGGCCATCACATCGGGCTCTGGAAGCCTCGCTTCTTTCGCTTTGACGGGCGCGTGCTCCGTGCGCGACTTACAGCTCTTTCGACAGGGATTGCAGGGCCTAAAGCTTGTTTGCCGAGCCATGGGCAAATGGGAGCCTAAGGCCTAAGGCCATTGTTTAGATTGCAAGCAAGGAGGGAAAGAGAGAGAGAGAGAGAGTGTGTGAGATGGTCTTGGAATGATTACTTCTTGCTAGAAGATAGTACCACAAAACAGCCAACTGTGCTTTGTGGATGACAGCGACGTGTTTTGTCCGCCTTGGGACCTCTGGACTGCGCAGCTCTTCTCTTTGCTCTGAGGTTACTGGAAGCATCAGCGCCTCGCGGAGGAGAAACAGGAGCCTCGCGGCGAGATCAGCTTGACAGGTTGCCATGCTGGGGCCTTCAGCGAGGTCAGAGGGTGCTAGACCTGCAGGCATATACATGACCCGAAGCTGCAAACTTGCCCAACAACTCGTTGCACTGCTCCTGGAAACATTCATGCCTCGTTGAGCACCCGCCTTTTCCTGAAGCGGATGCCGTCAGCCGAAGGTCAGAAGCAAATTTGGAGCTTACATCGCAAGGCCACAAGTCTGAAGGACCTTTCATTGCACAAGCCTTCCTCAAGTCCAAATCTCTCTTTGTGTCGCCACTGTTCACCAGGAGTTTGGTCAATTTGGCGAGTCGACACAGACTTGATGTGTAGTGAGGTGGCGACGGGCTGCGGCGACAGACGATTTGTTCTCAGAGTGTCTTGCTCAGTTCATCATGTGCTTGCCTTCAAGGGAACAGGGTGGCCAGCTACGTTCCCACCCGGGTTGCCCGTGAGGCACCTCTGGCTTCATATGACGAGGAGCGTGTTGTGCTGCGAGCGGCTGGGTTGAGTGGGAAGGTGACGCTTCTAAGGCGTGATCCGTTTATCCCGCATTCTTTTGCACCTTTCTTTGTTGCAACACACCCAACGATTAATGGGCTTCGAGCTGGAATGTTGCTGCAAGCCAGCCCCGTGTCTGCAGCAGGAGCTGGAAGCTGAGACTTGCGAGCAGAGGCATCTGTGGGTTTGCAGTCAGCGACTCAGCGCGTGAGTTTGAAGTGCAAGAGCCAAGTCAGTTGCTCTGGGATTCTCATCATTGCCTACATAGATGGGTGTTTTGTCAAAATGGGTGACCTCTGAAATAGCTTCCTTTTGGCATCCCTTTGAAATCATCCAAAAGGGGGTGCATATTTTTAAGAAGCGGCCATGAGCTTGGGACAGTACCGCAATCCATGTTTGTTGGGAGTCTCAGCGTCTTCGCCGGTGAGCCAGTCCCGAAGGCGAAACGAAACGTATGGGTTTGTCTCTAAATGGGGGAGCCCCAAAATGGGAGGTTTGCCCTCGGCTTCCCGGAACGCATGCCCGCGGCCCAGGTTTGAATGCAGCCGCTCTGCAGCAGAGGCTCGACTCCAGCGCCTACCAGGCCTGAGCAAAGGGACGCTTCCTTTGTGTTTCAAGACTGAATTCCATCACTGGATCCAAATCTGGAGTGGGCTTGATTTTATGAAGTTTTGAGGTGATAGAATGAGGATCGGGTTCAATTTTGCAAGGTCGCAACAGGCAGAGCTGGTGCAATTCTTCTGGATATCGCCGCGCGTTTGACGTTTGGAGCTTAGGTCACACCCCAGCGCCTGCTGCACGCCAAAGGCATGTGGCATGTGCTGCAGGAGGCGGTGAGTGTCCGGGCCTCGATGGCGGACGGGGATTTCAGGGTTTCCCTTCCCCAAATGACGAGCGGCTTGGAGCTGTTGATTTCACCAACCAGTGGGCTCGCGTTTTTTTTCTCTTCTTCTTTTTTTCACCCTCGTCGTTTTTTGGAAGAGGGGTAGACAGCCAAGGCGCATGCAGAGCTTGCGGAGGTCCTGGATGAGGAGCGCGCCGGGGGGGTTTTTGGGAGATGTCACGGTCAAGAGGCCTGGCTAATCGAGCAAAATGGAGTTTGTCATACAGCCTCGCTTCCAGGAGGCCATGTCGGTAGAGAAGAGAGCGCTGCGCTACATCCGCCGAAGACCCGGCTGCACCGCATTGCAGTGCCCAACCCCTCCGGGCAATGTTGGGAAGGGATTGAGCCCTGAGAAATGCCCTTTTCTGGACGTTGTCTATCCTTCTCTTTGTATTGCAGCAAGGCCTCCGTCAGCCTCATTGTCTGTAGGAAGGGCTTTGTAGAGCCAAAAGTCAATGTAGGTTTTGGGCGCTGAATTGACACGTAAGCTCCAGGTTGTGGGGGAGCCTTGCTCCAACATTCCGGAGAAGTACAAGAGCCACGCCAGGAGGGCTTTCCCTTGCTTCACTGAGCACGGGCCCATTCAAGTGGTGGCATTTTGGGTCTCAACATTCCTTGAAGAGGTTGATTCCCTTTCAATCACCTTTGGACTCAGCAGCTTTGGGGCTCAAAAGCTTGTCCGGCTCAACAGCTTGTCCACACCTTTGGGCTCTTTGCTTTGCGTCATGTTGAGTTGTCCTCGCCAGGGTCGCCTGGTGGTGGTGGGCCGAAGGGTACGTGACAGCCTGTTGCGAAGCTGGGGCCCCGGAGAGCTGGTGTTGCAGCTGGTCCAAACACTCGTGTGTCTTTTTTTGATGATGCCACCGTTTTGGCGGCCTTAGCGGAAAGAAAGGCAACATGGAAACCACCAGCTTGAGGGGGTCCCCTTAACAAAAAGGGATGCACCCACATGTTTAAGCTTCAAGCAGCAGTTGCTTAAACCTCCTTTTGGTTTCCCTTCAAACAGAACCAGCTTGCTAACAGATGCCAGGCCGGGAGGAAGGCCGCCTGGCGTATAGCGCCGGAGCCGGGGGCCTGGAGCGGGCGATGTCTGAATTTTCTTGGCCTCCTTTGGTTTTTGGGTTCTCCTTTGGGTTCCGTGTTTGTTTGGGGCAACACACAACCTCTATTTGATTCTCGGTGTGGATTCCCCTATTACAATTTTTTTGGGAGTCCCGGACCTTCCTGGGATGGTTCGCTGGGATGGTTCGCTGTGATGGTTCGCTAGGCGGGAGAGGAACTTTGGCTGCTGCTGCTGAGCTCCAGGCTCGATCTCAGACAAGAAACGCTTCACAAAATTAGGGGCCCTTGGTATGATTGTAGCGGGCAACCGAAAGGATACCGACGTGGAGGGCTTCCACATACTGGGCATGCCTTTGTGCAGCAGATATGTGCCGAGCCGGGAGCTCCCCGCCAGGGTCATCTCCGAGCCGGGGGAGTGTCGGGTGCTGAAATCTGTGCGGGGCTTGGTCTCGCAACAAGACAGGGGGAGTCGCGGGGCAGACCATCGCGGGTGGGCTTGCATTTTTTGAGAGAACTCTTTTCAGGTTGAAAGGGACACCAAAAGGAAGCCCACTTTTTTTTGCAGGGTCTGATGCCCTATTTTGACACAGACCATTTCTTCGGTTTCGCGAGCTCAGGCTGCTTTGCTGGAGCCACCCAGAGATAGTAACCTCAACTTCGAGGCGTGGATGGCTGGTGCTTTTTTTCCTCCTCATGGGTGACACCAGTGATATTTGACGTCCGTCGCTTTGGCAAACTTTGCGCCAGGTCTTGTATGCCTTCAAAGATCCTCTGGATGACTCGGAGCCGGTTGCCTGTCTTCCGCTACTTCAGTGTCAGGCTCCAACTGAACAGAACCTCTCCATGGGGATGTTGTCGTCTTGCAGTCTTTTTGCAGGTTGGCGATGTCACGGAATGCAAATACGGGAGCGGCTGGTCTCTCAACATCTTCGAGGCGAGCCATTGCCTCGGCCTTTCGAACCGGCCTTCCGCTTTCGCCCTTTATGCATAGGAAAGAGCTGAAAAGGCCTGGGATGAAGGGCACCACAGGTTTACAGCCATCGGCATTTTACCAAACAACTCACGGCCGCGATGTGCCCCGGATGAAGCGCCCGCAAAGGGTTTGCCCGATTTTTCCGTGTGTATTGATGTGCCTTGGGTGGAGCCTTCAATGAAAGGACCTGGACAAATCTGCGGTTCGCATGAGCCAGGCCCGTTCGAGTCCAGCGCCTGTCAGGCTGATGAGCAGACTGGCATGCCAGCTGGAGCGTCCTGGCTCATCACACTGGAAACTCGCCACAGCCTTGGTGCGAAGGCGCTCGGGGACGGGAAGTCTAGCTGACTTTCCGAGGCTTTTCAACCTGAAAAACCATGACCGTGACCCATATTGCACAATTTTCAGTATTGTTGGCCCTACCTCCAGATTCTCTGAGAGATAGGAGGAGGAAAGGAAAGGAATAAGACATGTCATGCCTTTTGCCCAACCAGTTATCCCTTATCTCCCTACCTCCTCTTCGAGGCAATGGAAAGGTTGAGAAGAATAGAGGCATGAACAGATAGAATGGTGGAAGAGCATGAATTCTTCTTCCGAACTTCCTCATCATATCCTTCCACCTGTATCATCTTCCCTTCCTACGTCTGGAGATGATTGGTGGTGATATGATGGTCGTCTCTCTATCTCTCTATCTCCCCATCCTCATCCCTCAACCTCTCTCGCGAGTCAGTGATAAATAGGCAAGAATCAGGGATGATGAAGGGATGAGAGATAGATAGAGAGATAAGGAAAGGAGCAGATGATTGATGGTGATGAGATGCCATGAGATTTCTACTCAAAGCGTCTCCCTTCATCACCATCCTATCATCTCCCTATCTCTCTCTCTCTCTCTCTCTCTGTCTCTCTCTCTCTCTCTCTCTCTCCCCTTTTCATTTGGCATTTGTGAGTTTTGACGGGTAAGATGTCGGTGCTTCTCCGAGTTTCGGGCCGAGGAGAGGAATGCGAGCTCTGGCGGAAGGCGGCCAAGGCGGCGCGCTGGGCGGCGCGGGCCTCAGAAAATCGCCTTTCCACCCGTGGCGTTCATCTATCAGCGGTGCGTCGCAGTTGTTCTGCGGCTTGTGTTCAAAAAGCGCACCCTTTCATTGAAGGGAACCTCTTTGTTGAAGGGAATCTTTGGATAGCCCCCCATGGAAGCCGCCTTTGGGTTCTCCTTGGCGAGCCCCGCCAAACCTGAGGCTCGGGCCCAAGCCACGGGCAAGAAGCGAGCGGCGGAGGAGGCGCTGGGAGAGGCCTGTGAGCGGGCGACCGGCGATGTCTGAAGGCGCTGGTCTCCTACGACTGCAACCCCTCTGAATGGTACCAGGTGGCGCTTTTGGTGTTTTTTTCTTCTTTTCTCCATAGATAGAACATGGGTTGCATTGTTTTCAGAGAAAATGGTTTGCATGGCTTTCTCTTTGTCGCAAGGCTTGCTCGCGACGGCTGAAGCAAGTCGCGGAGTTCGCCCCGCTTGGACCTCAGAGATGCCACGCCCACACACGTTGCAACCCATCTCTGCGGATTTGTTGGACCGTTCAGCGAGGCCACCGCCAACCTTGTCAGCTGCAAGCCGGCTTAGACAGTGGGCTTCGCCAAGGAGAACCACAACCTCGTGAAGCTGGACGCACCTTGCAATGGCTTCCCCCACGCTCTGTGCAGGACCGGGCGTCTGCAGCTGAACCTGGATGGTCCGGCAGGCGGGCAAGACCGAGCCATGCGATCGAAAAAGAAACTGATACGTGCGACCAGGAGCGGGCTCGATTGTGGCTGCCTCAGCTCGGAGTCGATTTCGGGTCAGAATGCATCGAGACAGCTCTCCAGGTCTCCACAGCCTCCTCGGTACAGGCGCGATACCCGCGGCTTTGGCTGTCCACACCTGGCAAAACTCATCATTTTTTTTTGAGGACACTAAGCGTACAACCCAAACTTACCACAACAAAGGGGGGGCATGACCTGATGTTACCGTGTGGCTATGCAGTTTACCCGGTAGCCCTCTCAACAGGCGGTTGCTGGAGTGCAGTCTCATTTTGAATGATGGTGCCAGGCCTCGCAGATCTCATGGGTCCCGACCCCCAGCAACGTGGATGCGGCCACGGAGGCGGTGAAGCGTGTGCTGGCGGCCTGCGAGGCAGATTCGGCGTGGTCTCAGCGGGAGTTGGTCTACTGCTGCTACTACTACTACTACTACTACTACCACTACTACTACTACTACTACTACTACTACTACTACTACTACTACTACTACTACTACTAGATTTCTTAAATTGTTTAGGAGGGTACACTTTTTGGGTTGGATCAAAGGAAAACCCAGCTGAGAAGGTAACCTGGTTTCGAGACCCTTAGGCTTTACATGATGGTTTTCCCTAATTTCCTACTAACGTGGGGGAGGGATTAGTGAAGGCCCCCTCACACTTTTTTTTTTTTTTTTTGGGGGGGGGGCCGGGGCTCACTAGAGAGAAACGTCAAAAATACCATGGTGGTCAGACTGGGGCCTGCCTAAGTAGTCTTACAGTAAGTGCTGCTTAGTGTTGGTTTAGTATTGGTTTAGTATTATTGTGCACTGGCTGAGTAGTGTGTGTTTTGGTCTAGTATTGGAGTATCATTCCTTTAGACTTGGTTAGTATTGGTTTGGTATTGGCATAGTATTGATTTAGCCTTCTTGTGTACTGGCTCAGCACTGTTTAGAATTGGTTTTATCGCTGCTGGAAAAATCACAATGTGTATTAACTCTCCTTTTATTGATCCCAACAAGGCTAGCTCCTATCACAAGACGGCCCAAGACGGGATGCTTGAATGCACAGCCGAGCCCATGACCTGCACAGGAAGTGTGTGGAGAAGCTGAAGGACGGAGCTTTGGCTGTTCTTTGGTTTGACCTTTTGTTTTTTTGATAACCTTTCGCTTTTGGGGAAAATGACGCTTTCCCCTCTTGGAAAGTTGTTATTTTTGCAGCGGGCCCAGTTTGGCCAAGATGGGAGAATCAGAGTCCACCATGCGCACGCGCAGGACTGCTGGAAGCGGCCTTGGCAAAGCGGCCCATGCGCCAGGCCGGTCTTTTCCTTTTTGTGAAGCCTGAAGTTTGGCCTTTCAAGCCCTTCTGTGCTTCTGCAGGATGCTGCCGGGGCAGTCCGGTGCCTGGTATTGTTGGCAGTCCTTTCCCTTAATCACCTTGACCCAAACGAGCGGTGTATGTATGTTTTTCCTCCCTTTGCCGCCAGTTGGGTGTCTGTTTCTCAAAAGGAACCCTAGACGAAACCCATCATGGAGGCGTCCTTGGCAAACGATCAATGAATGTTTGCTTAACCGTCGTGGGGATTAAATGTGGCCGAATTTCCCGTTTGAATTGTTCTTTCACACCAGGTGGTGTTGGCGCATCCCCGCGGCTTCAGCCTTCACGCTGCCGGGCCAAGCTGTGCCCGAGGCCCTGCGGGGAGCTTTGATCCCGGCGCTGAGCACTGTGGGCCGCTGCGCGGGGCCGAGATCTGCAGAGATCTCCCGGGCGTGCGGTTTGCTTTTTGGAGAGGGGGGAAGGATATTTAAATTGCGAGTCTTTTTTTGGCAAATCTCGAGAGCTAGGCCGCGGAAGCGCCGCAGAAGGGTTGGTGGATTGTTGAAGAATTTCATATGAACTGGAAAGGAACAACGAAACACCATCCAATTGTGGTGGTTTTGGTACCTCAGCCTTTTGGGCAACTTTGGACAGCCCCTCCAACCATAGGATCGGAGGGCTCGCATGTATCTTCGGCGAGGCTGGACCAGGTGGAACTCGGACCTTCCCCACGCCGAAGCGCGCCGCATTCTTCGATTCCTGGAGGCCAGGTCTTGTTTTTGTTTATGCCCACTGCAGAGTTGGAGTTCTATGTCTTCAAGGAGGTTGAATTATTCTAAGATTCAGTTTCAGTCAAAGTTTGACCCACGAGCCTGCCAGGCAAGAAGGCAATCGGCATGCAGCCTCGGTTTCGTGGCGCTGCCTTGGCTTGGGGATGGGCTTCGAGTACTTGCCGCGGTGTGCCTGTTGATCCTTTGAAATCCCGATGGACTTGGATCTTCGTGAAGATGCAGTTGCGTTCCTTCGCTTGTGTTCGTGTCTCGAAAATAGCCACAAAGAGGCGCCCCTGGCATGTGCCTTATCCAACACCTCTGCCGGGCCAGGTGTGTGCCCCCTTGAAGAAGGCCGTCTCCGGGCTCTCTGCGGAGTTGAGCCTCCGCGTAGGCCGGCACGATCCACTGCAGCCGAATCCAAGTTGCAAACGTGGGGCCAGAAGCATCCCAAGCACACCAAGCTTGAGTTGGCATGGGTCCTCTCACAGGCTTGACACATGAGGCGCACTGGAGAGGAGCAAGAAACCGCCTCACCCACCAGGCGCTCATTTGCGACGCTTCGCTGCGTCCTTGCTCACCTCGGAGCTTGGTGAGCCCGGCCCTCCGAATGGGTCCGACAGCAAAGCCCGGTCAAAACAGCCCCAAGAAGGGTTTGTAACAGGGATCTCTACATGGGGAAATCCCTGAAATGAGTTGTCTTCCTTTGGTTTTCTTCAAAACAAGCCCAGGAAAGATTGTGGCGAGGCCAAGCAGCGCGCAGCATCGTCATTGGCAGTTTATTGCCACTTGCCCATGCTGCAGGTGATAGGTGGTGGAGGATAGGCAGCATTTATTCGGACAGCAGTCCTGCTTTGGCTGCAAGCCTTGTAACGTGGCGTTCTTTTCAGAAAAAAATGGAGTGCCTCTGTACAATCAGGAACTTCTTCGGAGTTGTCTGAATTTGTGAGGCTTTGCTATATTTGAAGCCCTCAACTCACCTAAAGTGGGCTCTTGACATATTAGCAAGGCCAAGCTGAAGATCCTGCCCATCGTTCCAGAAGCGGGAAATTGCAAGTCCGAGGAGTTGACAAATGCTGCACATTGCAAAGCTGCTCCAGAAAGTAGTCACTGGGCCAATGCTGATGTGCTCCGGAAACCACACATTGTCCAGCCGCGAGTAGGACGCTGCCAACACAAGTAATTTCCGCATTTTGTCGCAGTGGGACACTTTCCATAGTGTATGGAAGATATGTTCCCTGTTTCCCAGCCAAGAGTAAGTGGGCAGAGTTTTTTGCAAGAACGGAGACATTTCAACACAAGCACGCGAACATCGCTGCTGACGCTGATGTGCTGATGATGCTGGTCATGCTGCTGGTAAGGTTGGGACTCTTGTCTTTCTGTCAACGCCTGCAAGGCCCATAGTGCCGGTGTTGCTGCTGGTAATATTGCCACAAAGGATCACATAAATTGTTGACCTTTCCCGAATATGAAGGCAGGCTCCGCAGTTTGCTTCTTTCTGTTTCTTGGACAAGCATCCGAAGAACCTGCCTGGGACACTTGCATGGCTGTTGCGTGTCGGCGCCGAGGCGATTACGGGGCCCAAGCGCTCGGGCGTCCTTTGCGCCGGGCGCCCCAAGTGCCTTCCTTGCGGCGGTCGAAGCTTCCAGGCCCGCCGGAGGTCCTGCCCAGTTGAATGGGGCTATGTCGGTCTGACCAAGTTGATGGGTTGGGTGCGGTTCCCTTGGTTTGCAAGGCCAACTGGCGAGACGCGTGCGTGGCGGGCCCAGTTGCAGGTCGAAGAGCCAAGCCCGGCGGTGTGTTAGAATCGCGACCACTTTTGGGGTTTGTAAGAAACCCAGAAGAAGGATCCCTCCTTTGACCCGTATTGTCCACAGCTCGGGGCACTAGCTCGGTGGGATGTGCTTCATATTGTTGAAGTCGGTATCGAGCTTGCGTTGGCAGACCGGCGCAAAGCAGCCGTGCTGTCAGTACTCTGCTCCGGCCTCAGACAAATGAGTGTTCGTTGTGTAGCACAGTTTGTGGCGCGCACTTTCCGCCAACTGGGCCAGGCCTGTGGACTTCTTCACCTTTGTCAATTCCTGTTTGCTGGACTCTTTGATGCAACTAGCCTTATTCGGATAGATCTATTTTTCTTGGGAAACCCTGGTCTGCCTTGCTTTGCTTCGAAGGAGAAAGATCAAGATCTGCCAGCGTGGCGACTTTGTTGCCTGCGTGCTCCCCTCGGCCTGCTCGCCTTTGGTTTCCCATCAACAGAGCACTGCAGACAAAAACGACGCACCATGTCCGCTGGCCCAGGTGTGGCGAAGTTTGTGATCAAGGAGGTTCAGGCGCGCTCGTGTGCGATGGTGGCCAAAGCTGCCTGTAAGGTGGGCTTGTGAAGCAAAGGCTTCAGACACACATTGTGACAATGTCATACTGCACATTTTCGTTGCAGATGCGCATTGTTCTGCGCATGGGCATCTGACTTGTGCTGGACTGGCAACTTTTGCCAGCCTGCAGGATTGCTTGCGTGGCTGGCTCTGGGCCACTCTGCCTGAGGCATGTTTGCGAGAGGTACTTTCCAGTGCAGGTCAGGAGTGAGAAATGTTCATTCCCCGCAAGCTCGGAATTTTGAGGGCATGCCTTGTCAAGTTCTGCAAAACACCACGGCTTTCGCACATTTGCTTTGGGGCCACCCTGCCTAAGGAAAACTCACAGTGACAAGTGTTCACAGGTGCCACGTGAGTGGTCATCACGTCAAGGGGACGGACTGCCAACTTTGCTGCGAAGATGGTGCCTGTCTTGGCGGACGAGGGGGGGATCCACTGAGATGTGATTTTTGAATGCCTGCCGCTTCCTGCCCCAAATGGGCCTCTGTTAACACGCAGAGCACGAGTTGTCCGAGCTCAGGTTTTGGGGTGTCACCATGCTGGCCAACGCAGTGGGTCTCTCAGGGTCCAAGCTGTGCAGCTCCAACTCGTTTCCTCTGCCCAGATGCCGGCCTTTCAGACGCAATGCCAAGAGCTGACAGCGGAAGCCTGAGAGTTTGTAGAGTGATGGGGTTGCATTGGTCAGGCTTAGCCACGCTTGCTTGCCACGAAGCACCAGGCGGCCCATTCTTTCAAAGCACGGAAGGCCGGAGACGAAGATACGGAGGCGGGGCAGCGTTCTTGCGCGACGGCCAGACTGGGCACCCGTAGAGTATTGACAGGCCGGAGCGGAGGATTCTGGGCACATCGCGCCAGCGGCAAAGCATTTGGAGATGGGTCAAAATTGAACCACCAGGGGACCGCAGGTTTTTGGTCCATGTTTCCACTTCCTAGGGTTCCATTTGTACCTATCTTTGACCCACAGCCATTTGGAGATGGACCTTTCAGTCATGAGAATAAGTCATTGATGCATAAATTTCCGCCATCTCCGTAGCGCTTTGCCGGGCCGAGCGCCTGTCAGCCGAGGCCCTTTCCCGAGCTTGACTGCGGATCGCATCCCGTGCCGCGGGAGTCGGCGGCTCAGCGGCAACAGGCAGCGTGGCGTGTGTCCCGGGTGCGCTCCTGTAAGTTTCAGCGGGTCCCGAGAATATTTCCCTTGGAAGGATCAAGCTTTTGTCAGTTCCATGGCCATTTGAAGGATATTCCTGGTGAAATGTTGCTCCTGCTTCAGGTGGCGCTTCGATCGGGAGGCTGCAGATTTCGAATCCATCTTGGAGGCGAGGCATGGTGCGCTCATCCAGCGTTGGGAAAAGATGGAATCAACAGATTTCAAATGCTCCGGAGGATATTGAAGCAACATATGCTGGGTGGAAACTTGTCCGTTGCAAAGGGGCCAAGGGGCAAATCTCCCCTAAGAGCCTCACCACCAAAGTGCAGGCTTTTCTCTGGGCAGCGTGTGACGTGGCGCTGGGCCGTTGGTACCAGCCTCAAAGAGCCCGTGCCATCAATTGGTAGCCTTGAAATGAGACTGGCATCCATGGCCGAGCTGTGAAATGCAATGGTTGTGTGACTGCCAGCCTTCAAAAGATACCGGTCAGAGATTCGAGTGACCATTCCGAAGCGAAGCATGAGGCGTCGAAAGATGTTGAACCCGGCTGGGCAAGACAGGAACGATGGACAAGGCAGCTTTTTGTGAACTGGCTAGCTACAGCGTTTGCAGCCTCCTTCGTCCAGGTTCACTGGTGCCATCGCTTAACCAGCTCTTGAGCCCGAATCTTCAAGTGCTTCGTTCGTGGCTGGTTCCCCTGGCACGTTTGTACGAGGGATGCAGTGCTTCGAGCAAAGCCGAGCGCCCGAGTTGTGGTGCGCCAGGACCCGTCATTGTTTGAGCAGCTGTTGATCAAGACGTTCTTGGTCCCTGCCTTGCCGCACTGCGGGATTCGTTTGTGCCATTTTAGAAAGTCGCTCTCTCTGGGCATTGTATCAAACATGCGTACGGATGACAAGACAAGGCCTGTAGTCTACTGTTGGTGGGGAGGACATGTGGGCACAACCCGAAATTCCCACAACAATTGGGGGACAGCCCAATCTTCCCCTCTGCTCTTTGGGAAGCAAGTAGTTTTGTTGGGGGCTATGGTGTGAGAGCATCCGTCCCACCTCGGTCAAGGTGTGCATGGGGTGCTACATTGTGAAGCTCTCCTATGGAACCTGGCTTCAGGCAGGGGCTGATGGATCTCCGGCGCTTGGCTTTTTTCCGTTGTTTGTCCAGGCTATCCGTGGCAGAGAGCAGCAGCAGAATGAAGCGCTCTCTCAGGCGCTATGTTGGAGCTCGGAGCTGTTCAGTCTTGCGGTTCCGTTTTTTCGGCCAGGAGGCGGTTGCTTTGTGCAACTATTTTGCCAGCATGTCCAAGAAGCCCCGCTGGTCGCTCAGATGAGCCAGAGGCACTTCATTAGCAATCTACAGTTGGTGTGGCAAGGATATTAGGGCCCCACTCGAACTCCCCACAACAAAAGGCTAGGGGGATAAACAAGTAAGTTGGTCAGCACTCAGATGGGGGGATTCTCACAATAGGGAACCCCATAATGGGTAGGTTACCAGCTTCCTTTTGGTTTCTCCTTGAAGGCCACCCAAGACTCTCGCTCAGGCGGCGCATCCGATGATTGCTGCCTTTGGGAGCCTGGCAGGGCGCGGTCCCAAGTCGTGGGGGTCGTCCAAATTGGGGATCTAGGGCTCACCGGTGCAGAAGCCGCTGTTAAAAAAGGGATACCCAAAAAAGGGGCCACCAACTTTGACAACCACTTCGCGTGTTGAGTGTTGCCTTTGAACTTTTTGCAGACAGCCGAAACGAGGTGATAAATGTCCTGCATTTGGTGCTTCAACCAGGAGCTCAGCCGAGGCTGGATGAGTGGTTCGTATGGACCACACACTGTGCACGAGTTTTAGTCTCGCTGTGTTGGTCATGAAATGCTTCATTTATATTTTTGCTCCTTGCAGGGATTCTCACCATGTCGCCCTGTGTATTGTTGTATCAATCGACAAACCAAGCAACGAAATCACGGGCAGGATTAGCCCTTCGTCCATCTTTGATTTGCGTTGCAGGGACAACTAGATTGGCTTTGGGCACATTGCAAGCTGTATCTGGCCACTGGAAGCTTGGTGCCTTGGTTTAGGGCCGACCCACTTTGTTGCTGCCTTGGGAGATGAGTCCTTTTCGCTGAGCTCGTCTTTTTCTCAGGATTCAGAGTGGCAGTCATCCAGAGCGTAAACCACAAAGGCGAAACTTGCTTGCGTATGCAACTAGTCCCCCAAGAACAGAAGCGGAGCCAACCAAGCGGAATTTGCTAGCAGCGCCAGCCTTGTTACTCCAACGAATACGGACTTTAAGCTTTACAAGGGATCCAACAAGGGCGCAGTAAGGCCAGCTTTTCACCAACCACAGGGTGCAGAGGGGAGAGCCCCCTTGAGGCAAACGCAGGTCCAAGGTGGGGTCCTCTCAACGTCCAGGTCGACACACCGAAGGCCCAGCGAGATCCAGCGAGGAGCGCCTGTGGGCTCAGGCATCAGGTAGACCGAAGCTTGGGAGAGTCGTAGGAGCGTCTTTCAAAGAGACCCCTCTGGTGTCCCAGTGTACCTTGCGCTCAACAAATGGAATGCTCTGGGAAGTTTAGAAAGTCGACATGGGTTTTCCCCTTCCGACTTTCTGCACATCCTGTGACCTTGTTGGAGGTTAGGAAGTCAACTCGCTGGAGGATATCCTTCCAACTCACAACTTTTCTGGAGCAGTGGACTTGAAGGCGCTCCGCCCAGAAAACCCAACGTTGGCAGGCGGAAAATCAGTGCAATGAGAGGTTCCCAAAAGGGACCGAGCCAACGTCACTTGAGTCCAAGTTGCTTATCCAGCAGATCTGGCAGAGGAAGAGGCTTCCTTCCAGGAACTGAATCGGGTATGTGTCGAAATAGGGGGACCCCACAAAAGTGTTTCTTTTCTCCTTTGGGTTTCCCTTGCAACCACTGTGAAAAGGCAAACTGGAGAGGCTGCGAATTGAGGCCGCTCCCAGCTGAATGGAAGGGTCCCTTGGGCCGGGCGCTCATTTGCATGCTGCTCCCACGACCTGTGTGTTTGTCTCACAGATATGCAAACATGACATGGGATATGCAGCCCCCACCACGACCAACTGGACTCCCCTCCAAAATCCATATGGACCCCCAAAAATGATTGGCTTTCTTTCAGTTTTCCTGAGGCTTTGAGGACGCCCTCAGCAAATTGGTCTCTGCTGGGGCCCCAGCTGGATGGACCGGGATGGGATGGTCCGCAAAAAGTTTGCGGCGAGTTGGGAAGTGCGGGGAAAGTTTAGTTGGCTGCGGCTGGGGCTCCAGGTCTTGTCTGAGGGCCCACTACCCCTTGATGACGCCGGGCGCTCGCTTGTGCTGATGTACAGGGGTCGCGTTGTGGTAGCCCCTCAAACGCAAATCCAGGGGCCCTGTTTGGGTGGGTTGAGGTGCAACCGAAGAGTAAAACCCGGATCACTTCACGACTGCGGGATTGCACCCGGCCCGAAGGTCTTGACTTGGTTCACAAGTACAGGCTTGCCCGGTTCCAAGCCATTCCAGGACCCGAATTTCAGGGATGCTCCCGCTCCTTCGCCCGGTTTCTGCCTCCGCGAGGAGCTGCCACGGCCGGTGCCCACTGGCTGCCTGTACATTGTGGCGGCTGATGACGAAAGCAGGCCAGGGACCCTGAGACGCACCGTTTACGCGGCGTTCACGCTTGTCTTTTTGGGCCTGCAAATTGACAAAACCTCCCCCCCAAAAAAAACACACACACAAAATAAACAAAACAAAAAGAAAGGAAAAAGATAGCTAGGGTTTTTGGGGTTCTACGTGGGGAACCAAGAGGCCAGCCAATATTTTGGGCAGTCAGGCGGCGAAGCAGCAGCCGGTCATCATCCATGCTGAGCTTTGCGGGCTCTAGATCCAATACTCGCAGACTCTCTGGGTCGGCGCCTTGGAGCGAGAGCTCAGGCAACCTGAGCTTTGCTATGACTCACGAAGCAATGCACTAGTGAAGAAACAACCAGCAAGCAGGTAAAGGACCTGCAGTATTGGAGATGCTTTGGTGCAAACTCTTTGGAAGGCAATCTTTGGCAGCAATAGGCGAAGACCTAGGTGTGAAAGGTTTGCAAAACACAAGCATTAGGAACCCCGCTGAAATGAATGAGAGGTGAAGCCAAGTGCAGGAACTAGACATCTCCTTCATTTCAGGATGGCCGTTGGCTGCTTAGGAAACCTTGAAACGCTTCATCACAAGCGCCCTTCATCCGGCCTAGAACATGCTGCGTTGAAGTTTGCGGCTATCATATTGGAGGTGGCGATCAGGGAAGCACAGGTCAGGGCATGTTCCTGATGGCGGGTACAGATTTTGTCATAGAAAGCTCGCACTTGCTCTCACCACGATTGGGCCCTGCGCGCTTTGGCCTGGACTCTGGCTTCAGTTTTTGTCACTCGCCAAGGGCGAGCTGCCCTGGCGAGGAAGATCACTCCCCAGGCGCGTTCCATGCGGCGCGTTCCATGCGGCTGAGACATCTATCTGCTCTGTCTGCCTCCCTGGCAGGGTTCGATGCTCGCGTGCCAGGAGCTCAGAAATGTGGTGACGTGGGCACGTGGATGTGGCTGTCATTGAGAGTTGCCTTTGTGGAACCCGGGGGTTTTGGGTCCTCTTGGCTACCGGGCTTGCGGTATCCGGCACCACGCACTCACCAGGCCCGGCGGCTTCAACCTCTTTGGCCAGGCCAAAGTCTTTGGTTCTTTTGTGGGGTTCCATTTCAGCGCCCAAAACAGAAGTGAGGCCTGTACAGACCGTTATTTCCATCTTAATGAAGCCAAGTCAGTGGGTTTTGAGCGCTGCTCATTTGTTGATTCCCAAGGTAGACTGAATCCCAGAGGTGGTTGACTGTCTGGTTGGTTGACTTCAGCACATATCCTGGTTCCCTATGTTTCAGTCTAGCTTGGGGATGAACCAATGCAAGCAACCCTGGGTGTTGGACAATCTTGGAGGCAGCCAGGCGGGAGTCAAAGGATAGCGCCTCGCTGTGAGAATCTCAGTGCAGGCAAAGTAGGCTGCAAGTCGGCAGCAATGCGTGCCATGGTCGAAGGACATCTTGATGTCAGGGATGGTCATCATCATTCTGAATAGACCAGAGGATACCAGCAAGAAACAGAAAGACCTCGAAACACATCAGACCACAACAGAAGATCTGACAACTATGGGCCAGAAGTCTGTGACACTTCCTGGTTTTTCAGTTGTTTTCCACAATTTTCTGATTCTCGAGACTTTTCTGCAGGTTTTTCTGGTTTCTGTCGAAGCTTCTGCTTGGGGTGCAACCTAGCTCACTTGAGGTTCAGTCGAAATGTCTGTGGTCAATGTCGGAGTGACAAGTTGCCGGCAAAAGCCAGGGAATCAAGATGTCTCTTTACAGGGACCGCATATATGTCGACCGTGGCTCATTTGACCCCCATGAGCTTTGTGCAGCAAGCAGTGTGTCAAACCCATTTGAAGTTTCGGAAGGAACCGAACTCCTTTGGACGCAGCTGGAGTCTGAGGTTGATGAGCAGCGCAGAGGCACTGGGAATTCGCTGCCGTTTCGATGTCTGGGGCGCCAGCCAAGGCTGCTGCCTTCGCGGCCACTGGCAGCCAGGCCGTAGGTCTGGCGTCGGAAGGCTGGGGGTCACAGCTTTGGGAGGTGTCCGAGTCTCCGAGTCTCCGGGTCTGGTCGGATTGTTGGATGCCAGGTTCGGTATGCGAGCTACGGATTGAACAGGCAGGGGACCCTGGCGCACAATGCCAGCCAGAAATGGGCCTGTTTATTCCTTATATGGTTTTGGGTAGATCATGTTGATACCAGGTAAGTATGACTCACCTGGGCTGAGTGAACTACAAGATCGAGCTGAGGACGGCGCGTATGGAGCCTTCTGCGAAGTCTCCGCGAGCCTGGAGGCTGATTGGCGCTGGAGACGGGGCAGAAGTTTCGAAAGGTGGCCAATGGGATGAAAGGTTGGAGCGGAGTCCGAGTGAAATCAAGCCTGGCTGTACACATCTCCATCGCCGCTTGCGACAAGTAGGCGCGGCTGAATTGTCAGGACGCTGCGTCGCCAGGACTCAGGCAAGCAGCGAGGGGCAGGTCGAATGCCTCGTGGGTGCGGGCTAAAGCTAGGGACCCTGTCACATGGTTTGTCTCCGGTTGGTATCTTTTTGACAGTTTCTCTAAGGGGCCATTGTCTTGACATGAATACCAACGGGCTCAACTGGCAATGTCATGGAAAGTTGTGCTTGCAGTTGGGAAGGACAGTGGGGCCCTCATGATTTTCCCGCGAAAATCAGAGGTTTATCAAATTCCACGCCTTCCCAGAAAGTGATGTCACCTTAGGCTGTGCGCATCGTGCACTTTTTTGGGACCCCTGTTTGAGGTGGTACAAGATAAGCTCCATGACAGGTGGGAGTCCGGATCTTCCCGACTACGCTGGGTGCAGCTGATCAAGGCACGTCGATCCGTGGTAAGGATGTCGAAGCCTTCGACCGCCAGGCAAGCCCGCATGGAGCCCCTCGCTTCGAGGTGACGGAATTTCAGCCGCACGCGCTGCAGGCGCCGGATCGTTGCAATATTTTGTCTCAACGGTTTCTACCTATCTAGTGCGCTTCCCTTCCCTTGATGTGCCCGTCCACCAGCTCTTCCCACGTAGGCTGAGTCCGGCGCTATCTCACTGCCCCTTGCGCAGCTCGACGAGGCCGGGCTGACAAGCCACAAATTGGAGTCCCTGGTTCCAAAGCTCACTTTGACAGAGAAGTGGCAGACATGTGAGCCCGCAGAGCCTCCCGAGGTTCAGATGACAACGGCCACCTCCATGTCTCTGGCCTTTCTGCGCGAGGAAGAGGGCCAGGGCCCAAGGACCAAGGCCTTTTGTTTCAGCATGAGCTATGCTCTGGGCGCTGAATGGCGCATGCGTTTATCCTGACTCTAACGGAAATTACCAGGGCTTTGACCATATTCTTTGTTTTCGGACCTCTAGCTGAACTATTTGCCACCCAGATGCATTCTGCATGATGCCTTAAGAGCGTGTGCCTTCTCAGGCCGACCAGTGTCTTTCCGGTGCCCCAGTGATGAGAAGCACCATGTATGTTGGGTCTCTTGGCACATGCTTATGGCAACACTCTTAACTATTTGATTTCACATCTGTTCTCAGTTGTTCACGGAAACAAATCAAAGGAATCCTGAAAAAAAAGCAAAAGCAATGCAACAGCAAAAGCGGGAGAGTGATGTCAGGCCGGTTTCCACTTTGAGGGGTGTGTCCCAGGTACTTGCTCCATTTCGAGTGCCCCTCCCATGTCTTTCGCTTCCGCTTGGCCGGCGGCTCAGCTCTCGAGTTTGAGTTTGCTGCGGGTTTCCTTTCGCACAACAGTGTCCGAGCGGACGAGGGGCCTTTTTCAAGAGAACCATAGTCTTCCAAAATCCTCTTGCAGATGTTTGCCGGCCCAGGCCTACCTTTTTCATTGGGTCGACTTGTTTCGGTTCTTTCGGTTCTTTCGGTTCTTTCAGCATGTCCAATGACCATTGACTGCAAACACAACCCCGGTTTGGGTTGGACAAATTGAGTCTCGGTGTAGCACACATTCTATCTTCCATGGCAAGTGGTCAGTGACAACCCTAAGACGTAACAGCTAGCAACCAGCTGGCCCCTTCTTGGGGACCCCTGTTTCTGTTTGTGGGAGAGTTCCATTGAAGCCTCCTCACCAAGAGGGGTATGGGAATGTGTCAAACTTAGGAACCAGCCGCTTTGAGCCATTTCTTGGAAGGACACCAACCCGAAGCCAGCCGTTTCTGAAGGGCGCTGTGCTTTGCCAAGAGGCCGTTTGTCGGTTTCCCGTGAGGTCTCCGGAGGTATTGATGGCCCGTGGTAGCGGGCTGAACCTGAGGTCCTGCAGAGCTGGTGGGCCGCGGAGCCGATTCGAGCCACAGCCCCAGGGATGGCCCCAGATCGGATCCGAGGGCTCACTCTCGGGGTTGGTCATGGCCATGTGGGCACTCGCGAGGAAACCCATCCGGTGGTGGCGTACATTGCTGGCATGGGTGGAGCTGATGCATCAGGAGGACACAGACGCGCCAGGCAGCGCCTTTGTTCTCTGCCGGGGGGACTGAGGACCGCCCTTGCCTGACGAGCTGGAGGAAGATGGCCGGGCATACAGCTTGATCCGCCTGAGCGGGTTTTGCCGGAGTAGTGGGAATCGCACACTTCTTTGATACCAATGAAAGGCCTTTCCAAATGATAATACGAAACGGGGGGAACCCTGGATCACAGAAGTGGCAACCAACGCTGCGAGCCAGGCTGGCGCAGCCTTTCCCCACCGCTGACTTGGCAGGTGCGCATGGTTTCAGATTCAGGGCCTGTGGAAGAGTTGGAACACCTTCAAAAGTGTTTTTCGGACATCAAGTCTCATCTAAATGATATCCAACATGGAGCCCCTAATTCGTTTTCTTCGCCATATTTCCACGCTGACGCGACGCACCCCCCCCCCCCCCCCGGCTACCCTGCCCTTCCCTTCGCTTTCTTCCGACCTTCATTGTCCTTTTATCTCCCTTCATATGTGCAGTCCTTTCTCTTAATCACTTAATCCCCTCAAGTTCCCAAGAGTTCGACGACGACGATGATGATGATGATGGGCCTGTTTTTGGGTTGGTGTTGGGTCTGCAGGCTTGTGCTGTGAGTCTGCGGGTTTGCCCGGGTGAGGCGGGTGATGGGGAGCTTGCAACAAGCGCCTCGCCGTTGGGGCTTTGCCCTTCAAACACTGAAAAAACGCAGGGTTTTTCCGCTAAAGACTGGAAAAACGCATGGTTTTCCAAGCTGCTTTGTGTGGCAGCTGCTGCTGCTGTTGTTGCGACTTGCGGATCAATTTCTTGCATCGGGCTTGCTTGCAGAGGTGCTGCCTGCTTGGCAAACTTTTAAGGAGCAAGAGCCAGCAGATATAAAGCTTGGCGTCCTGGACAGCATCCCCAGCATTGCAAGCATCATACCAAATGATGCTGGTGATGCAGGGCATCCTGGCGATGCAAAATCTACTTCCAGTTCATTTCCCATAATTTTCCAGAGTTTCCCTTTGTTTCCTTCTGTTTCTTCTCATTTCCCTGCAGTTCCCTTCATGTCCTTTCATTCCCTTCATTTTAGTAATTTCTGTGTTTTTGTTCGAACTGAAGGGGGAAGGGACATGATCGGCAATGAAATGAAAGGAAATGAAGGGAAAATGAAGGGGGCTGGAAAGACATGAAGGGGTGAAGGGAAATGAGGGGAGGAAACTGAAGGAATGAAGGGAAATGCAGGAAACTGACGTGAAAGTGGTTGTCGTCGTCGTCGTCGTCGCCTTGTTTATCTTTTTGATACACGTTTCAAGTGTCTCATTAGACCCGACTTGGAACATCATCCCTGCTGGTGAAGACTGAAACGATGAGCATGAGCACCATGATGATGATGAATCATCTGTACGCGTCCCCAAAATCACCAACAGGAATGATGACAATTATGACTACTTGTCCTGACGCCTAGTGATGATTCATCATCATCATCATCATCAATTGTCGTCGTCGTCCTTGTCTTTGTGATACACGTTTCAAGTGTCTCGTTAGACCCATCAGTGTGCATCCGCACGCCCAGCGTCACCAGGGCTCCCTAACTTGAAAGAACGGTGGTGGTGGTGGTGGTGGTGGTGATGATGATGATGATGATGATGATGATGATGATGATGATGATGATGATGATGATGATGATGATGATGATGATGATGCTGACGGTGCCTACCGTGAGATCTAAAACTTTGCAGCGTCACCAACACGTATATCAGAAAGATACGGACCTACTGGCAGTATTAGCTAGCTTGATCACGATTATGATGATCACGAGGATGACGATGATGACGACGATGATGATGCTGCTGCTGATGATGATGATGATGATGAAAATGATGATGATGCTGCTGATGATGATGCTGCTGCTGCTGATGACGATGAACCTTCAGTTGTGCTCACGTGCCAGCCACCCTTCCTGCGCGCCTCCCTTCCTCTTTGGAGTGTTATCGTCAGTCTACAGGTGGTTTGGGAAGGACAAAAGTATTTACAAGAGCCATGGGTGTAGACCATCCGACTTTCCGCGTCCCGAAGCCGTCCGTGAGGTGATGGAACAGCGTCTAGGCGGCCTTTGGCGAGAGGTGCGCAAGCGCCTTGAGGTGCCTGTCTCAGGGGAAGAGTTTGCAACGGTCGCGGTGGGCTTTCCAAAGCTGGTTCTGCGGAAGGCATCTTGATCGACTGGAAAGCAACCGAAGGTCTGGCGCCGAGACGTCACCCAGTTTTTCCAACATCCTCCAGTGGAAACAAGGCATTTTTTCCGGGAGGGGTGCATGAATCGGAAGTGCTGCACGACAATCGCATGGATTGGGCGCCAGCTGAGGGCGTGCTTTCCTGGATACCAATTCGGAGGTGTGGCCTTTGTGGGGCCAACAGACTCACCTTATGCATTAGGAACTCTTCCGCAATGCTTGCCCTCACTGCGAAAATGGCAAGCTGGGGCGTTAAAGCATGATTCTTGGTCATGTTACTGCGCACCGTGCCCTGAAAAGATCTAGCTAAAATGTCTCACGCTCGGTGCGCAGGTTATTGCAATTTTTGCCACGCCGCAAGCCCCGCGTGCAGAATTTCACAGCACGCAGCCCTGCGCGCACAGGAACAGTGACTGAAAAGTGTCTATTGGCGGCTCCTTGCTGGTAGAGGCCCACTTGTAAGTCATTTCATAGCACAAAAAACATTTCATGCCGAGGGATACAGGATATGCTATGATCCAGTGCGTAGTCGGGATCATCAAGCCATGATTCAAGGCTGGCCATGGCGAGCCCTCCAAATTGAAACGGATTTTCAGCCACAAACCAGAACGCCATGCTTTCAGCGGATGCGCTGTGCACTTGAGGCCCCAGCTGCTAGCGTAGTCTTTGCCGTCGCAAGGAGTTCTTAGACCCGTTTCCGACAGCCCAAATGGTTTGACGCTCAGCGAGAGCTTGAGGTCTCAGATACGAGCCAAGACACAACGCAGCCATGGCGATAGTGGCGCAAGCTCCATTGCTGGCACCTCTGCAGGCCGCCGAGTCGAAGCACCTCCAAAGGGTTTCCTGTCAAACTCGCCATTGGGTATGGGGGGTTGCCGACTCAATTCCCACGTCAGGTGGGGGTTTGAGGGCATCCTTTCAGACTAGCTCAAAGGGAAATCAAAAAGAAACTCCCCCTATTTTGTCACATACCATTCGGATTGTGGCTCAGATGAGCTTCCCTTGCCACCAGAAGATCTTGGGCTGGCTCATTTTACGAGAGCAGGCTCAAAGCCGGCCAATGTTTCAAGTTTCAATTGGCAAGGAAGAACGCAAAGTTGCATTTCAAAGACGTGGGCAAATCAATGTACAGGTATACTTGTTTTTTGCATCTGCAGGGAGATTCCATGCCAAGCTTCCGCATGAAGTGTCCTGATAGGTGAAGCCATGGACGCCGCTGCCGTCTTTGCCGCGGCCTGCGCCCAAATCGCAGCTGCGAGGCGCGGGTTTCGACTTCAAATGGGATCATGGGATGGGAAAATGGTGGCAATCGGTTTTAGCGAACGCAAAGCGCGGCGTTGAGAATCTCACATGGCGTTTCCCTTTTGGGGTTCAAGCGGCATCTTTTGGCCGATTCGAAGGGAGACTTGGCGCGGAGACACCCAAACTGCTGGAAAGTGAAATCTGAGTGCCCAAAACTCCTATACGCCGCTTGGTAGGTGGCTCTACTACCTTGTTTTACAGGTGGTATAGTAGGGGCTATACATACACAAAATGACGAAATTAGTGATGTTGAGACAATAATTGAAAAACATCGAATCCAAGCAGAATGACATTGCAGTGAAGAAACTGCCTCAATTTGAAAACGATGCAGCTACAAAAGACAACACATTCAGCGGAACAGAGAGTAGCATAATTGATGACGGTAGTTTCAATCGTACACGTGATGATATCAAATCTAAAGCAACAGCACAACCGAGAGTCACTGGTTTTGATCGCTCATCTGACATTTGATGTTCTACGTGTTGTCCCACAGATAAAATCAAAAAAAGGCTGTGCACAGCGCGGCAGGCCATCTCTCTACTTGGACTCCTTTTGTGGTCCTTATGGCCATGCGGAGCCAGGGTCTCAGCTCTCTCGCGAACTGGGGACTCCAGTCGAAGACATCCGTTTCGCGAGGTTCCAGCGGGAGGGGGTTCCGGGGTTCCCCCATTTTGAGACCTTCGTCTGGAACCGCCACGGGGCGATCCACATTGACAAGCTTCAGAGAGTCGCGCTTGCGGCTCCGTGCAACTTCGGATGCCGAGGTTCTGCCAGGAAGGGCCGGCGGTTTACGTTGGCATTTGGCCTCAGATTGAGAGACAAAGCGCATGTCATGCAGTATTGAGAGGTGAGGGTTTGGGGACATCGCAAAGAAGCTGGTCTTAAAGACGCAGGTTTTGGGTTTTGGTGAGGCCAGGAGATCCCTTCTTGTATTGTGTCATGTTTGGGCCCTTCTGTGTAGACGTTGAAGGTTGTTGGTGGATTTGCAGGCAAGGAAAGGCTTTCCCACTAAAGGTGCGGACATTGGGGGGGCCAATTTGGAACCTGAGGTCCGCAAAGTCTCGGAGTTGTCCGTGGAGGCCGGAGTGTGGGGGTACTTTGGTCTCCGATCGGTGTCCTGACCAAGGAAGCCGTTGACTTTTCGGGGAACGTTTTCCGGGGCCAACGTGAGCCACGCAACTCGAAGGCTGTGGCTCAGGACTACAACCTCCCTGTTTGTGAGCTTTAGCTTGGTAGGGGGCTGTCTAGGTGCAGATCTGGTTTGGGGAGACTCCTCTTGACTCGTGGATTGGATATTGAACACCAGAAAGAGTTCACTTGACCGGTTGGGCATTTGGCCGCCATTTGCGGGAAGTCTCCTCACGGCTCGCCTGGAGTGGTTGGCGGACTGAGGAGATCCAGGACACAGTGGACACGTCGCAGTTGTCCAAGGGGACGCCCGTGAAGGCGGGGCCGCGACCTGGCCCACCCTATCATGGACCTTCAAGAGGGGGCTATGGAAGGCTATGGAAAAGCCAAGTATCCGAAGTCTCTGGGGCTTACCCTTGGCTTATCTTTGGCAGGGATAGCCCCTCCCCATAGACCCCAAGAGGGGGTCTCCGAATTTGTAGGTGGTGGTACACCTTCTTTGTGCTCCGTGTGCTTCAGAGTGCATCATTGAATCCGGTTTAGAAGGGCACTCAACGGAAATGGACGTCTCGGCGAAGTCCTTTGGTTTCATGAAAGAGAGAGAGAGAGAGAGATAGAGAAAGAGAAAGAGTCCCGACTCAACTGAGCACACTATGCTGGATGGGAGGCCAATGGAGCTTCTTCTGGTTTGGTGGTAGGTTACGCCTTCAGTGGGCTAGGTTCAGACAACAGATTTCATGGGTTTGCATCGCGGCTTGATGTGCGCAACTGACCTCGTGCTTTTGCCAGTATTTAGGCTCAACACCATGAGTAAGCAAAGGTGCCAGGTGTTCAGACAACCAGATCAGAAGTAGGCAACTTCAGCAAGCATGCCCTGCATGCGCGAGAAATCAGCAGACCACTCCAAGAGGCATGACAATTCAACAATGCTATTCCCAGAAGCAAATTCCGTCGCGTGTACAAGCCGCACCTGCATGGTCCATCCACCAGTGCTGAGCCCGGGACTTGTCGTTTCTTGATTTCTGGCAGAGCTGTCTAAGCCAGGAGGAACCAGTTGTCAATGTAAAAGCGAAGGCCCCATGGGACATCGCCAACTTGACTCTAAAGGAAGGCAGCCCTATTTGAGAGGGAAGCGCATTGTGAGGCTCTTGTTTGCCGTGGTTCGTTTTAAGGGACACTAGGAAGCCAATCATTTTGGGGGGACCCCTGTGTTTTATCCTGTGCGAGCAGATGTCTGATCACGACAGTCAAGTACGTCTGATTTGGCAAGACGGCCAGCAATCCTTTCAAAAGAGATTGTAGACAACGAGAAAGCAAGACGCACTTTTCAGATTATAATCAACAGACAATTCTAAAATGTCTTCCGGGAGGAACATGGCCGCAGGGGTGGAGGGGCTGTCACTGGATTCAATTTCCCACTGCAAAGGGGAGCTTTCTCTGATTGCACTATTGGTAGGTGATGGCGTCCATTGTTCATATGAGGCCAGAAGAGGGAGCCACATTAGGGCAATTTCTCCTATGATTTTCGAGTCACAACCATACTGAAGGAATTGCCTTCGAAAATGACATGGCATGTGCCTGAAGCCTGGGAAGGACCATGTTTATATTGACCGAAGCTCACATGAGGCCTGGCCAGCTTGCGGCTTGAGTGATGCTTGGCGCTCAGGAGAGATAAGGGATTCGGCGGGGCTACAATCTACTCCTTGATTTGCAGGAGTTTTTGTATTCTAAGGTGCGTTTTGTGGATATGTTCTCCCTGGCACCCTGCTTCTGCATTCACGCCTTCTTGTGGCTCATGCAGTCGTTTTTGCCTGTCAACATCTGCCCATGCCCTGCCCATGC